AAAAAAAAAAAAAAAAAAAAGCAACCACAAACACTTGGACATAAAGGTTCATGAATGGTCACACCAGTGCTCATTCACAGCAGCCAACACATGAAAGCAGCCCTCGCCCATCAGCAGATGAATGGATAATAAATGATGGTCCAGCCACATGGTAGACTAGCACTTGGCCATAAGAAAAAGAAAAGGAGAAATACCGATTCATGCTACACCCTAGATAAACCCTGCAAACATTATGCTAGAATGTTTGCAAGGTCACAGAGAAGAAGTCAGTCCCCCCAAAAAAACACAGATGGCATGATTCCGTCTCTGAGGCAAATCCTCATAGATAGGAAGTCGACTGGTGGTCACCAAGGCTGGGGAGGAGGGAGAAGGGAGAGCTGCCAATGGGTAAGAGAGTTTCTTTTTGGGGAATGAAAATGTTCTATAATTGGCTGTGGTGATGGCTGCACAACTCTGTGAATGTACTAAAAACAACTGAACTGAACGCCTTAAGCAGGTGAATTTTATGGTATGTGAACGATAGCTCAGTAAAGCTGTTACCAAAAAAAGAAGACGGGGCAGCAAAGTTACCCGAGATGACACAGCTGGGAAGCACCAGGCGCCCTGCAGTGCACTTCTAGAGTGCCACCTGCCCCACCTGTGCAAGGGGTGGCAGGTGATGGGAACAGAGGCCCTGCCTCCCTCTCTCTAGGAAGCAGGGTGATCCTGGCCTCCCGACTGCAGTTTTCCCAGGCCTGGTATTGTGCTTGGCAGTGACAGCCAGTGCTGGGAGGCCATGGAGGGGCAGGGAGGGAAGAGGAGGATGGGGAGGAGGAGATGCAGCTCACGGTGGTTACCAGGGAGACGCAGCTGAGTTGGGGCCGGCTCTGGCCAACCAGGCCTCCCACCCAAGTGACCATGCAGCTCTGGGGCCTCATGCTAAGTAGGCAGCAGGGATGGGGGAAAGACCCACTGATGATTCTGGGCCAGGGTTGAGGGCAGCCTCCCCACGATGGGCTCTCAGATGGCAGAGAGACCAGACAGCAGAGGGGAGGCAGAAGAGCCACAGCAAAGACAGGAAGGACCAAGAGGAGGCAGTGAGTCGGCCTCAGGGCAAGAGCTCAGGCAGGGGCAGGAGACAAGCAGCTTCCACAACACAGAGCGAACAGGCTTCTCCCCATCTCCCACTGCAGCTTCGGTTTCCTTATCTGGAAAATGGGGATCACAAAAAATCCTCCTCCAGCCGGGCGCGGTGGCTCAAGCCTGTAATCCCAGCACTTTGGGAGGCCGAGGCGGGTGGATCATGAGGTCAAGAGATCGAGACCATCCTGGCCAACATGGTGAAACCCCGTCTCTAC